CATCAAGGAAGTTTGGCTAATGAGGCGGGAGTTGAACAACATCTTGTCTCAGAAGCTGAAATATTTTGGTCATATCAAGCGCCACGGCGGATTGGAAAGGCTAATCCTAGCTGCTCCTGCAGCAAATATCATAATTCCGGACTTTGTTTCTGTGCCATATGGACAGGAATAAATGGAATTTATGCCAAACGATCACACTGATAATGGCAAGTTATCGTGGCGTACTTCAACATGACGACATTCAGGAACAGAAAGGGATGAAGAGAGCCCGGATGTTTACGTGAGTTTATCGCCCGCGAGAGATGTTAGTCTAGGCTGTAAGGGAATCTCTTGCTTTAGTCTCAGCATTACAGCAGCTTTTCCACTTTGACAGACGTTTTAACAGGGTTGTTATTTGGTATTATGTTCGGCTAGCGGACTTTTTCCATGTTCTAAGTGCGTTTTGAATCACCAACTCCGAGATCCCCTGCTCACAAAGGTGAGCCCTTGACAATCTTCAGGTAAGGACATCCCAGAGGAGCTCAGTGAGAGAACGGTCAGGGGAATTAGCTGACCACGCCATCTTAATGATCGCATGCTTCTGAATAAAGTCATTCATCACACAAACTCAATGCGGTCGAGCCTTATCATCTTAGAGGATGGCATTACCCTCCATGGCTTAGACAGCAGGTTGAAAATTTGGTCCAAAGATTTTGTTCTGGTTTTTTAGGCGGGTCAAATTATTTGGGATGATGTAGAGTAGGGTCTTGCAGTCTGTTGAAGCCTCCCCATATCAAGACAGAGCTCCAACCATAACGATTCACCTCTCAGATTGTGTCATCAGTAAATCACTCTCCTGCTAGTCTCCAAACTCAAATTCTGCCATCATTAGGTGACTCAGTGAAGCGAGATTCATCAGTGAAGAGGACTTGACTCCATTGTTGCTGTGTCCATCAGATGTACTCCTGTGAGATCAAGCAATACGGACTCTGCGATGAGCAGAAGTAAAAGCAAATCCAACTACTGGCCGTTGAAAAACCAGTCCAAATTCGTGCAAAAGGCAGTTAATGGTGCTTTGACTAACATTACCATTTAGTTTGTCTCAGGTGACATCTCAGAAAGGAACAAATCACTGTTCAATGACACAGTGCTGACAAGAGGTACCGGTCATCATGTCGATTGGTGCAACTAGGGTGACCTGGCAGTGGCAATCCTCTATACTTCCTGTGGCCTGAAATCTCTCAAACATTCTTTGGACAGTGTGATGCCGACTGGCTATAAAATATAGGTCTAGCCCTATATATCCAACACGCCGGAAAGCTCAAATATCAGGAGTGGCATAGATATTCTGGATTAAGCTGATAAATTGAATACTACCACTTCTCCTGAATACTGTACAGAGAGTCTGGCCGGCTCACTGCACTCAGAGGAAAGGCAAGACGGACATTTAACTAGATTGTGACCGGTACCATCAGTATTGGATTTCTGCGCTGGCTGCTGAAGATGAAGACGCAGCACGCATGGAAATACCCCGAGTACTGTGATGTCAATTCTTGACTCAACTCAACTAAAATACTTTGTAACAAGTATAAAACCAAACAACAGTAACATCTAGTGCAATTTGCTTAATTTAAAGCAAACCAGAAACACAAGGTTTACAGGAAATCATTTATTTATACAGACAAGAAATTGTGAAAACAAGAAGAAAGTTATCAATCAGTTTAATAACAAACATGTTAAGTTTGGTGACATCCAACAAATTAGGTTTCATAGACTGAAATTAAAGCATGAAGAAACACTATTTCCATTCCACAAACTACGTAGTTACTGAAAATATTTCACGCAAAAACCAAAACAATGCAAGAAATGAAATACATAAAAATTATACTCAGCAAAAATATAGATTCATATTTCAACATCCCATTGCATATGTTTAGTGCAACATGCCTCAACAGTGAACATGGAAAACATGCCTATGTATATTCATAACATCAAAACTGGAGAAGAAAATATACCTATATCAAAAATGGTAAAATAATGAACATCAATCACTTCAGCTGGCTAACTTAATAAGTGATTATAATAAGCAAAAGTGGCCTGACTAAACAACAGTGACAGAATAAAGCAATATCAAATAATGGTTATAATGCACTAAATTCAAAGGACAAAAAAAAAAGTTCATCAATTTTTGTAAGTTAGCCACATAATAAACTGTTTTTCCCCACATGGCAATTTCATTGGGACTTGTGCTAGCCCAGTGAAAAGTCCACTTGCCTCCCAATCTGGTCTGTCAGAGGTTCAAATCTTTAATGAAGCAGACTGGGTCAACTGAGCCAAAAATGGCTACCAGGAAATGTTTAAGAAGTCCAGCAAGTTGTGATGTCACTTATAAAGTGTCCAGAACAACCCAGAGATTGCTAGGAAGAAAACACCTGACAGTCGACTGAAATGGAACAAAGCCCAAAAGAAAACTGCAGATAGAGAAGTCTGGTAATCTTTTTGGCAAACCTCTACACCCCAGGATAGAACAGAATCGACTAAGTATCTTATGGAGTACTGACTTGTCCATTTACATACAGGACTAAGCACAATTTTCCCAGCCCACTTCATCGGCATGAAAATAGGTTCTATAAATTGAAAATTTTTTTTTTTTTTTTTTTTACATTTTATTTATGAAATAACTAGCTCTGGACTTTTTAGTAATTGTAGCAATAACTAGTCATGTTCTGGTAGAACTGGGATCTCTAACTCCTTCACCTCTTTTTCACACAAACACACACACAAATACTGTCTTTGTACAGTTTCCTACTTACAGTTACAACTGTCTTTGTACTGTCTCCTATTTACAGTTGCAAAAGTCTTTGTACCATTTCCTACTTACAGCTGCAACTGTCTTTATGCTCATGGCACCACCAAAGAAGACTTATCTCCTTCTCACAGTTGCAACTGTCACTGTGCTCATGGCACCACAAAATAACGCTGTCACTTACTTATAACTGCAAATAATATTCGACTCTCATAAGCCATTTTGCTAAGTGTTGCTAGTCAGTGGTTGTTCAAGGTGTTTACAAAATTGCTCTCAGAAAGAAAACCATTTTTCTGTAGCCTCCAGTCTCTTCCTTATTTCTTTCTTTTTCCCATGTTTATGTTATTATCACAATTAATGTCGCTGCCCACACTGGGCACTCCAATACAGGCTCAGTCCTCTGATACAGCAGCCACTCCAAGGTACCTCCACTGATTGTTCCCATGAGTCCTCTGATACAGCAGCCACTCCAAGGTACCTCCACTGATTGTTCCCATGAGTCCTCTGATACAGCAGCCACCCCAAGGTACCTCCACTGATTGTTCCCATGAGTCCTCTGATACAGCAGCCACTCCAAGGTACCTCCACTGATTGTTCCCATGAGTCCTCTGATACAGCAGCCACTCCAAGGTACCTCCACTGATTGTTCCCATGAGTCCTCTGATACAGCAGCCACTCCAAGGTACCTCCACTGATTGTTCCCATGAGTCCTCTGATACAGCAGCCACTCCAAGGTACCTCCACTGATTGTTCCCATGAGTCCTCTGATACAGCAGCCACTCCAAGGTACCTCCACTGATTGTTCCCATGAGTCCTTTGATACAGCAGCCACTCCAAGGTACCTCCACTGATTGTTCCCATGAGTCCTCTGATACAGCAACCATTCCAAGGTACCTCCACTGATTGTTCCCATGAGTCCTCTGATACAGCAACCACTCCAAGGTACCTCCACTGATTGTTCCCATGAGTCCTCTGATACAGCAGCCACTCCAAGGTACCTCCACTGATTGTTCCCATGAGTCCTCTGATACAGCAACCATTCCAAGGTACCTCCACTGATTGTTCCCATGAGTCCTCTGATACAGCAGCCATTCCAAGGTACCTCCACTGATTGTTCCCATGAGTCCTCTGATACAGCAACCATTCCAAGGTACCTCCACTGATTGTTCCCATGAGTCCTCTGATACAGCAACCACTCCAAGGTACCTCCACTGATTGTTCCCATGAGTCCTCTGATACAGCAACCACTCCAAGGTACCTCCACTGATTGTTCCCATGAGTCCTTTGATACAGCAGCCACTCCAAGGTACCTCCACTGATTGTTCCCATGAGTCCTCTGATACAGCAACCATTCCAAGGTACCTCCACTGATTGTTCCCATGAGTCCTCTGATACAGCAACCACTCCAAGGTACCTCCACTGATTGTTCCCATGAGTCCTCTGATACAGCAGCCAGTCCAAGGTACCTCCACTGATTGTTCCCATGAGTCCTCGTGAGGGTCCCAGGGCCCCACTGTGGGGAAAACAAGAACAGACTCGATACCTCCGCAAAAAGCCTGTCGTAGGAGCCGACTAATTGAGGTCATTCTTCGAGGTCAGAGAGCATCTGTCCGGGCAGCAAGGAACAACCAACTGCACACAAATAAGTCAATAAAACGGATGTACATGCGAAACTCAGGCCCTGGCACAAAGCCAAAGTCTAAATGGATGAACAACTAGGAGGACTTTCCACCCAAGCTTACAGCTGGTGAACAAAGTTCTCATGAGGAGCTGGTTATAATGTCTCCTACCTCACGTAATAAATATGCTTCCCCATGCTTTATTCCTATGTCATGTAATCGTGTTAGTGTCAGGGATTCATCGTTATCCACTAACCTAGTCTGTACAGCACTGATGAAATCTGCCATATTAAAAAAACTTTCAGTGCCATAACTCTTCAGTACTCACTTTCTGACCTTCAGTGAAGGTGACAAATAACAAAGATATTCTTCAAGAATACTTTACGGAATGAGACGGTTGAAAAGCCAGCAACTGTCAGCAGAAACTAAATGCACCAATGAAAACCCCCAGAAAAACACTCACACCAGACTGTTAAATAATGGAATACATAGTAAAAGATTTCCCTATGATCTGGCAGAAGAAAAATACCAACAAAAGTGATATTTCACAAACAAACAGACTTCATTTAAATAGCTCCTATGTCACTGAGATGGCATCATTCCGACAGGCTCCATATTTTGACATTGGAGTCTTGTCCGACGGTGACCACGGTGTGGTTGTCCAACCAGCTCAGCTTGTTCACATGGCTGAGGGGATGTGCTGTGTGACAATAGAGGACACAAATGTTGAGACAATCTTGTAAACATATCAATGCAGGCATACATGATATACACTGGGGTACCTCACAGAGGTGAGGTGAAGCCGCTTGCCTCACACCCTGACGGTCAGGGATTCATTTCACAGCTGCATCACTTGGTTCAGGATTGCAATTAATAAAGAGATCCCTAGGGATCATTGCTGGAGCTTCAGATGTAGCCAGGGGTGATGCGGTCAACATCACGCTGGCGGCCTTTCCTTCCCAGGACTTTACCTGGTATATATTTAAGGCTGGATCAATATGGAAGAGCCAGAGGCTTAAAAAAAAAAAAGCCATGCTCTGTTCTGATTTGAACCCGCAACCTTCAGATCTACAGGCGAGCATCTATACGCAACACCACCATGTGTGGGTAATTTTCCTGTCCTACAGTTTGAGTAGACAAGACACATCCTTGTCGCAGAACTCTCTAGATTTCCGGATACTGACCAACTTTCTGGGACATTATTTAAGCAATAAGCTCCCCCTTCCCTTTCCCTCCATGTATGTATGTATGTATGTATGTATGTATGTATGTATGTATGTATGTATGTATGTATGTATGTATGTATGTAAGTAAGTATGTATGTATGTATGTATGTATGTATGTATGTAAGTAAGTATGTATGAATGTAAGTATGTATGAATGTAAGTATGTATGAATGTAAGTATGTATGTATGTATGTATGTATGTATGTATGTATGTATGTATGTATGTATGTATGTATGTATGTATGTATGTATGTATGTATGTATGTATGTTTTATGTGAGTTTGTATGTATGTGAGTATGTATGTGTGTATGTATGTGAGTATGTATGTGAGTATGTATGTATGTATGTATTATGTGAGTTTGTATGCATGTATGTATGTATGTATGTATGTATGTATGTATGTATGTATGTATGTATGTATGTATGTATGTATGTATGTATGTATGTATGTATGTATGTATGTATGTATGTTCATATGAATGTGGATGTATGTGTGTACTTAGTGCCTATATGTTTGTGTGTAAGTGAGTCATTGGGCTTGTGTGTGTATGTGGATGTGTGTGTTCGCGAGTGAGCGTTTGTACATATTTTACCAACCATGCTTTTGTAATATGCATATTATTACATGAATATAACATGCTTCATTGATGAAATACATCTGCTGTGTGAAAGATGGAAGTTTGGAAGGGCCGAATGTAAGACAGGCCTGCGTGCCTAATTTGTAACCCTTTGAAAATAAAGTTCGTTCGTTCGTTCGTTCGACCTGTAATCTTACCTTGGTGAAGCTTTATGGCTTGGAGGTTAGTGAATGTGTTTAATAATTGTATGAACTAAGGTTTGATTTAAACGGCGGATGGTTTACCCCTTAGGACAGTAGTAGAAGCAGCGCCATGGAAGATATTGGGGCCTCACCACTGTCTCAATGACACCAGTGTATAGTATGAGGGCAGTGTAGCCAAACTTCACTGTGAAGACGCCACAAACAGATAAAAAAAATTTTTTTGTTACCTTTCACACTGGGTTTCTGTCCTTGGAACTTTCCATGTTCCCACACAATGATGTGTGAGTCGATGCTCCCAGTAACCACCCGGCGTGAATCTGGTGACCACTTCAAACATGTAACCTTGGCTGTGTGCTGTTCTCCCCAACCACCCACCACTTCCTGTTTGATCAAAAGACAAAAGATATGATATGAGGGCTGTCCAAAAAAGAAGAAAGTGTGGTTAAAATGAAAGAGAACAGTTGCCATGACATTGATATAACATGTCAGCCAGCGCAATCTCATTTCTGGAAGGGATGCAACAAGCAGAACACATTCAGCAGATTCTTTGCTACCTCTGAAGCATCTGTTAATTCATTCAGTGTCTTGTTGTGCCATGGCTATCCTCCGAATAACGGCAGCCAAAAACAGGGCCTCAGTCACGTGTCACTTGGGCACTTCCGGCGAGTACCGCCAACCCGAGAGTACCCCCCACGCGGCGTGGATTGGGGCTAAACTAGATGGCTGGGACTCACGAGCAAAGCTGCAGGAGATGCGGAAGCTGCTGCTCATGAGTCCCAGCCATCTAGTTTAGCCCTTATCCATGCCGCATAGTTCGCAAATTAAGTCGCGGGAAGTGCGCAATTGACACGTGACTGAGGCTCTGTTAGGTTTTTTTTTGCGGCCGCCATAATATGTGCCCGTTATTCGGAGGATAGCCTGTGCCATTATATGTCACATAGGGGTTTTAATTCTATTTTTCCATTCGGTATAATCTTGCACAGTTACTTGGATATCGTGAACACAATCCAGTGCTGAACTGTGGGCTTCTCTCACCAACATTCCCCTTAAGCTTTCTCTTAGGATTCCTTGTTTCCTCAATCTCTGTGTTTCCTATTTCAGTACCTGAAGCATCTGCACTTTTATTTGTGATGCACTCACTGTGTCATTCCCAAAAGTCTTCTGAATCATTAAAATAGTTTCCACTGAAGAATGGATTTTTACAGCTTAACACAAAATTTTATGCAAATTCTCACATCATTAAAGTATTTTGAATGTGACAACCATATACAGCACACACTCACTTTATGACGTTTACCGGGTCACACGACTGGTACAGCGACACCATGATTGCTCATGTATGCAAAAGTAAAAAAAACAGGCAACTCTGACTGCCAGGTTACATGGATGCCACAGAAACTATTCTCTTTCATCTGAACTATTGCTAGTTCTCGCCTGGACTGTACAGCTCTCGTTAGTACATTTCAATACACGAAACAAGCTCACAATGCAGTTGCCCATACTAACCATATATTAATACAAAGGTATAAGTGTACAATAGGAAATAATTTTACAAGTAAATTTTTAAGATGTGGAGTGAAGGTGAGCTATGAATATCTTTTACTTCTGCTTTCACTTTTAAAAAGGGCAGCTGATATGCTGTGTTGTGGTTTACAGCTAGGCGGTAATATCTGTGTCTTTCAGCCAAACATTAGATTTCAGCAAATCATTAATTAGTCAACTTTTACGACATCGTCATTAAGAAGCAGTGAGTTCCTTCCTTCGGCTACCAAATAGGGCCTCTGAACACAAATGGTAAGAATTATGAATATGAAGGTGACGTAGACGTTAGAAAGGATTATATGACATGTATTCAGAAGTAGTTTTAATATGTGAAGTTCATTAAATTAATGGGAAATTTATACAAAGTTTACATAAATGAAGTATGTTTACATATTCAAATTTGTGATTTCTACTGAAAGGGATAGTTTACATCACAGCCATTCCACTGGTTAACTAGTGGGCTAACCTGTTTAACTAACCTTCTACTTTATGTTATTGTCTTTGAGTGATTTTTCATTGGTAATAAGTGTACTATTATTATTTTTGACTGTTCACTACTGGATTAATGTGTTTTGTAAAACTGGTGAACTATGTGCTATCTATCTTGTTAACTAACACATTCTGTATGTTACTGTCTCTGACATTTAATAGGTAGTTTAGTATATTACTTTTATATCAGACCGACCTTTCATTGGTGGACTAGTGTGTTTTAAGTGAAGTCAAGCCGGTGCACAATGCGCTATCTTATTTCACTTACCTTCCACTCATCCACATTGTATATGAGAATTTTGCTTTTGGATCCAACAGCCAACCAGGCACCATCTGGTGAATATTCAATAGCCATAACTTCCTGAGCATTTTCACTTCTGGTTTCTGTCAGGGTGCCATTTCTTAGGCTGAAGATGTGAATCTGAGTTTTCTGTTGAGTTAGGAAAGAAATGTGAACAATAGCTATATTTTCCATATTATGTCAGTGTCTGTGGCTTAGGTATTGCAAACACACTTTGTAATTTCAATGTGCTGGGTTCGATCCCAGCAGCGGACGATATGGCAGCAGATCGCCTTGCATTAGTTACAACAGTATTATCAAGAGCTGACCGCCAAACTACTAAACCTTAAATTGCCTAGTGAAAATACAAACAGCTGAACAATGCTGCGGCTGGTTCTGCAAAGTCCTTGTAAATGATTTGCAATAATTTTTTTAATTCTATATTTTAATAATCCTAAACATCAGCGTTTGCTAGCAAATGGTATACCCAGGCTTGAAAAATAATGTTTCTGGAAGGTACTGGTGGCAAGGAATGGAGCTGTCACCTGGTAAATATGACCGTCTAACATTTCAAACCCACTGAGCAGGGGCACAGATCTGTATCAAAGTAGACAAGCCGTCTGTCTCATTTAGAAGGTCGTGGGTCTGTTTCATGGACCATGTTGTTCGGTTCACGAGTGCAACTTTTATGGGAATCAACAGAAGCCGTCAATGAAGCTAGGGAGTTCATACTTTGTGTGATGCTCTTGGCAGGTGGCTAGCTGTTTTGCGGAGACAGAGCCATAAGGGATAAAACCTGGTTTAATGAAGCTGGTCCTCTGGACTTTATCTGTTACCCATACATCCATGCTATCATGGTATCATGTTAATTACATTAAAGATCGATGTTTGTACAATGAAACACAAAGGACTGGTTGCTAGACTCATATTTTTAAATCAATGGACCCTAGATGGCCATTACTGCCTGTACTGACCCCTTCTGCAGTGCAGGCAGGAGGGTCTTTGAGCCTCAGGATTTAGGGTCACTTGGGCTAGTGTTGTTGGCACAGACTGTGCAGGTTTTTACCCCTAAATAAAAAATATCCCCCATTCTTAAACATTCCTCCTTTTAGTGTTTCACATAGCAACATTATCTTTTCTCCATCACAATTTTATATTCCTTCCCTTCACACATTTAACCATACTTTCTACCACTATTTTATATTCCTGTCCTTCACACACATAATGATACCTTCTACCACAATTTTGCAGCCCTTCCACTCTCATAACTTATTCCTCTTCCCCACCACATTTGATCCCCCACCCTATTACACATTTAAATTGATTTTATTTCCGATCACATCTCAAACTCTCTTTGCAACAGTCCCCGGCAATAAGCAACTTACTGAACCAATGGCTACTTCAGCTCCACCAGGTCTGATGCTGATACTGAGACTCTCAAACTTCACAGGCAGCGCTGACAGTTTACGGCCAGGAGCCTCCAGTACAACAACCTGAGAGACAAACAGGGGAGATCACACACACTTTGAATACATTGCTACCATTGCTGGCGGAAAGTTCTGGTTGTTCATCCACTTTTGAACTCTAGTCCTGTTAGAGAAACTGATTGTTGCGTGCACATCCCTTTCACAAGTCTGACTCATCTGCATGCAGACTGTAGGTTCATTGCCTCTCAGTCAGACGTACTCTGACTTCAAAAGGATGCTCCTAATTAGTCGACTCTTATGATATGCAGTGTTATTGTTTTCCCTGGAGCCCATATTGGGGAGGACATAGAAATGAAGTTTGGCAAAAGAAAACAGAATCACTTTCAACTCTTTCAGTACCAGAAAAAGGTTTTGTAGGACATGCCAGTGAATTAATACACAGTATTAAAATGTGCCAGTCAAAGTGTTAATATAACAGTAGTTGTCAATATTAGACAAGCTAGATCTCTTAGGTGCGTTCTGACTAAATACAAACATAAGAGGCATATTAACCTAAGGAAGGGATTCAGCAAACAGGGTGATTAGCATATTATGTGTTCTTTGGGACTCAAAGAGTTAATGTTAGAAGCTACTTCAAGAAAATTAACAAATATAGAGATCACATAAAACAAATCTCCATCTCCCTCAGAAGAGCAGGTAACAAACAGAAAAAATGTAGTAAACATGAATCTTGAATGGGAGTAAACCATGAAGATGGAGAGATAATATAAAGGCAGACAGACAACTAGAAAGACAAGGCCTATCACAGAGGTGAACAGAAGTGGATGCTATCTGCAGCAATCAACCTCAAGGGTTCAGATGTTATAAATTGTTTAATTGTAAAATTCTAAAACAAACTGAGAATGACAACTCCCTATAACTACACATATTACCTATTAATTATTAGAACAGGCACACACACAATTATGAAAGACAAGAAAAAATATAGAACAATTTTACTATAGCAAGTAAAGAGAGATTGCACGTACCAGCAAATGAAGAACATACTAAAAGTTTTTCACTAGTTTTCAAGAGGGAAAACAAGGGATATTTTATATTATGTCAACTGGCATAGGAACGGAGCAGTTATGGGGTGACAGTCTTCAGTGATGTTGAAACCTTGACTAACAATTTTTGAACATTCGCAATACATTTAGGAAAGCAAAATACAAAACAATCTACCAATGAAGGGTACATAAGGACACATGAAACAGGGCAATTATTTTCTATAACTGAAAAAAAAGAGAGGGGGGGGGGGGGGGGTGGGGGGAGAAGATAAATTAAAATAAAAGACAGGGGTTCACAAACATGCTTACAACTTTACTGGCAATGCTGTTCCTTTTAGGAGGTATGGTTGCAAAATGTATGAGTACCTCATGCCTGAAAAATTTATGTTTCTCACTCTTTAATTTGCTGCAGATTTTTTTCTTTGCTGTTTGAGGTTTTACTTGACAATTTTTATGTTCAGTAGTTTGAAACTGCTTTCTGGACCATTGTAGAAATCACTGCAAAGCATTCTGCTGCCAAAATTGCCTGCAGATGGATCAGAGTGAGCATTTTGGAAATTCAAAGCATGCCCACAATGCCTATGCCACAGATGCATCAAAAGTTATAAACTGATAGCATTTATAACTGCTGACTCAGTATATGCTGGAAGTAACTGAAACACTACATACTGAATAAAGATTAATATGAAACAAATAAAGCAAACTTGATAAAATGAAAAAAATCTGCCACAAAAACAAAACAACATGCAACCAACAACAACAACAAAATCTATGTACACCAGAGTGGTAGATACTAGGCCAAAGGTCATAAACTTGTCTGGACTGTTATTATTTTAAACTACAAGATACAAAATTCTAAACATAGAAAACAGTGGGGTTATTCAAATTTTTGACTGCAGAGAGAATAACATTTATTTAAAACATAGAGGATGGGAAAACAATGTAACAAACAAACAATAAGTTCTTACATGATGAATGCAGGCTACAACAGCAATCCCATTCTTGCTGTCAACAGCTCTAGGCTGAGAGTCCAACTTGAGTGCTTGGCCGCTGAAACAATACAAACAAAAAAAGGGCACACTGGAGGTGTGGTGCTATTTTAAACGATGGCATCATACAAGGGATCCCATCCTTCCTAGTGTTCACCGGCTGTCAACTCTGTCCAATTCTGGACTTTAGACTTGTTCAGAAACTTCAGTTTTGCATGCACATCCAGTTGACAGATTTGGCTTATTTGTATGTAGATTGCCAGTTCCTCGCCTCTCAGACAAATGCACTCTAACTTTAAAGGAAACACCCCTAATTATTGTTCAACATCGTTCACATAAATCTACATAAGAACGAAGTTTATATAAACCAAATTATGGACTAGCAGAGATGTATTACTGTTATTAGTCAACAGTTAGCTGAATTAAAAAAAAAAAAAAAAAAGCAGAAAAAAAAAACAAAAAAACTAATTCGTATTACCATAGAACCGACCTAGGGATAACAATGGATGAAACAGCCTTCTTAATAAATTTATTTATAACTGTTTTAGTTCTTCTTATTCTTCTGTGTTTGACATTTCTGCTGAGAAACCATCGACCCGGCTGCTTCAAGATACCAGCTAAGTGATTTTGTTTATTTTTGTAGAATGTTTGATTTGTATGTGCGGATGAAGGCTCCATTGCCGCAATGTTCACATTTTGTTTGAATTTGTTATATTGTGAAGCTTGCTTATATACTTTTCGTTCGGTTTTATATCTTTTCTTGACATTAAAAGGTTTGTTGGTACACTGTGATATGGTTTACAGCTGGGCTGCGATATGTGTGCTTTTTGACCCAATACATTACATTTTAGCAAAACTGGTTTAGTTGTTTTCTATGTTTCACCTTCATACAACAGGACTGAGTTGACATATTTTAAGTTTGGTACTAGTTTTCCTTTCCTTGGACACCCTCAGATTTCTTAGTGTTAGGAAAATACCTCTGGCCTTTTGTATTCATATTTACATATATATTTGTTATATCTCTATTTGTTCCTCCATCTTTATCTACAATACTGTCTAAATAACCGTATACAGTACATTTGGAACTGAGGTTTCACTAGAAGGGACTGAATGATCATTTGCTTGGTTTCTCATTATTCTTTCTCTACGGATTTTTAGACATTTCTTCTTTCTTTTTTGATCACCAACTGTAAGCTCCGGTAGAAAGAGGTTGTTCATCCATTTGGACTCTGACTTTATGCCAAGGCCTGAGTTTTGCGGGTATATCCGCTATCCTGAGTTAGTTATGCGCAGTTGGTTGTTCTTTGTCACCTGGGCAGATTGCACTCTGACTTCGCGAAGGAAATCCCCAATTAGTCGACGCCTACAACATATTTTTTGTTTTACATACAATGGAGCCCAGGAACCCGCATGGGGCTATTTAGATCTAATTGTTGTGATCTCTCACCAAGTATGTTTTATTTATCCTGCATTTAATTCTGTGAGTGGAATAGGAGATAAATGTCACTGCTAAAACCCAGATCATCAAAGGACCATATTAACTTGGGAGAAAAAAAAGGAACTCTTTCTCACGCCAGTGGTACAACAGGCATATGAAGCTAGATTCATTTTTATATAGACCAGTCAGCCCTAAATGTGTGATGTGGTCAACATAATCCGGCCACCTTTACTTCCCAGGACTTTATCTGGTACTTATTTAAGGATAGGCAGACCTGGGAGTCTGAACTAAATCAGTCTCAGGCAGATTTGAACCCATGGCCTTCAGATCCGCAGGCTAGCATCTAGCCACTGCACCATGGTGGCTCCCTAGGACTATACTAATCAGCAGAAGAAAATTGAACTAAAAAGACGAAATGTATTCTCTGGCCAACTGCATTCAATAAAAGCATAACTTCAGCTTTAAAAAAAAAAAAAAATTTGTCGCGCCTCTTCTACCTTGGAGTGTAGAGGTGTGCCAGAGAGATCGCCAGACATCTCTGTCTGCAGTTTTCTTTCTGGCTTTGTTCCATTCAAGTCTTCTGTCAGTCAGAGACCGTAGGATGTTGTCTTCTCAGTGAACCCTGGGTAGTCCTGGTGGTCTCGTTCCCTACTTCTTAGCCTCTCACGTTCACCATAGACTCACATCCATATGTCAGGAGTTGCACATTAAGTAGATCTGTAGCCATTTTTGTCCTCTTGCTAATTTCTCTTTAGTGAGAAACCCTTGGTTTATGGCTTGGAGTCTCCCAGCTATTGCCTTTCAAGTGTTCTCTGACTTGCTGCCTTCATTCTGGTCTATTAACTTCAAGGTATTTGAACTGGCTGACCTGCTCCAATGCATACTGACCCACCATGATCTGATGTTTCACTATGATCTGATGTTTCACCATGATCTGATGTTTCACCATGATCTGATGTTTCACCATGATCTGATGTTTCACCATGATCTGATGTTTCACCATGATCTGATGTTTCACCATGATCTGATGTTTCACCATGATCTGATGTTTCACCATTATCTGATGTTTCACCATGATCTGATGTTTCACAATGATCTGATGTTTCTTCTCTCTTGAGATCCCCATGGTTTTAGTTTTGGAGATACTGATGGTAATCCATCTCTTCTCAAGTTCTTTCTCCCAGACAAGCAAACTGGACTGAAAATGTGCCTCTGATTTAGCAATTAGGATGACATCATCTGCAAATGCCAGCTATAATATGCAGGCTGGTCTCATATTCCAGTACCACACTGAGCTCTTCTTTGTTTTCTCCTTGTAAGTCTTGATGACATCATTCATCAGAAGAATTCAGAGGTAAGTTGACAGAATATCATCCTGTCCAACACTGCTAATGGTCATAAACTCTTATGACTTTTGGTTTCCTGTTCTTACATAATTTATGCAGTTCTTATAAAAACTGTTTTGCACTAATTAGGGGTGCTGGAATGTTCATCCCTGCCAAGCAGTTCCAGAGCTTGCTCTAGTATAGATAAAATATGTGATAAAAACCTAAAAAACAAAATAACAATATGTAATTTTCCAAATTTTACACTGCACTCCACTGAGTAAAGATAAAAAAAAAAAATGTTAATTTAAAATTTTCGTTTTTTAATGCCTACTGCTTTATCTGCAACTGTTTTAACACCTTGATGAGACCTCCAGACTTACCTGTATTCCAATGAAGCAGTTGGTGTAAACCGGACTGTATCATCCATAGCCACAGAAATCAGGTAATCTTTATCTAGCACCAAGTCTGCAACCTGATTTGAATGGCCCTTGCCCTTAAAGTCTTCACTTTCACTGGTGGCAGTATCCCAGCTGACTGGTATTTGTTAAAGTGCAACTTTCTCTCTGTGATCACATTGTCATGACAACAGTGTAAGCTAAGAGGCAGAAGATTCCTGACAGCCGTTTGTCATGACATGGAAAAGTGTCATAGCACACACTGCTACATGCTGTAGGACAGGGCTATTCAACTAAATTTCCCCAGGGGCCACAATTTTGAAAATTGGGATCATCACTGGCCAGACACCCAAACCACAGCATAGAAGGATGATTAATACGATACAACTGGCAATGATCTGCAGGCAAATTGCAAGACCTCCGTGAGCCAAATTTGGCCTGCTGGCCACCAGATAAAAAGCCCTGCTGTTGGAGATAGCAGGATGTAGAGAAGCAGTCACCCAGGCCAGTCAACAAAGCAGATGATGGTGATAACGAGCTGAGAGATAAGTATTCCCCAACATGCAACACTAAACTGAATGGGAAAAATGTGAAGCAGACTGATTCATTTAAGTTCTTAGGAAATCTGTTAACAGCTGATGGAAAACGTACTAAATAAATGAAAAGTAGAAAGCTCAAGCAAAGCTTTTTCCCAGACTGAAGACAATTTTCTGCAATTTTTCTTTATCAACCGAAGTAAGAATGAGAGTCCTGATGAGCTGTATAGATCATGGACAATTAGCCAATTAGTGAAATAAATTATGTGGAAGCTGTGCAGATGCAGTTATACAGAAGAATGATGATAATACCAGGGAGAGATCAGGAAAACATATCTTAGAAGCAGTCAAACCATAGGAAACTAAATATCTATACAAGAAAAACAACACTCTAAGCACATCATGTAAAAGAAAGAAAACTAGAGTACATCATGATAACCAAAAAGTTGAAGGGAAAGAGTACCAGAAAAAAAAATAAGAAAGATAATGTCAGACAGTTTAGCATCATCAGATGGCAACATGTTTTATATTTAAAGAAAAAAAGTACTAACAGCTCCAGTGACAGGAGGCTGTGAAGACATGATTACCAATGTCCCATATCACAGACTACAAGAAGTTGACATGTCATGGTGTAAGTACCATGACACAAGATCATTTATTGCAATGACAGTTTTAATCTAACATTGCTGATCTGTCTACTCTATTCTGGCAGCCCTATTCTTTTCTAATGAAGATACATGTTTCCTGAAGCCCGTCGACTGAACACAGTGAATTACTAACTGCAGAGGAAGTTACATGTTTCCTGAAGCCGGTCGACTAAACACAGTGAATTACTAAATGCAGAGGAAGTTACATGTTTCCTGAAGCCGGTCGACTAAACACAGTGAATTACTAAATGCAGAGGAAGTTACATGTTTCCTGAAGCCGGTCGACTGAACACAGTGAATTATTAACTGCAGAGGAAGTTACATGTTTCCTGAAGCCGGTCAACTGAACACAGTGAATTACTAACTATAGAGGAAGTTACATGTTTCCTGAAGCCGGTCGACTGAACACAGTGAATTATTAACTGCAGAGGAAGTTACATGTTTCCTGAAGCCAGTTGACTGAACACAGTGAATTACTAACTGCAGAGGAAGTTACATGTTTCCTGAAGCCAGTTGACTGAACACAGTGAATTACTAAATGCAGAGGAAGTTACATGTTTCCTGAAGCCAGTCGATTGAACACAGTGAATTATTAACTGCAGAGGAAGTTACATGTTTCCTGAAGCCAGTTGACTGAACACAGTGAATTACTAACTGCAGAGGAAGTTACATGTTTCCTGAAGCCGGTCGACTGAACACAGTGAATTATTAACTGCAGAGGAAGTTACATGTTTCCTGAAGCCAGTTGACTGAACACAGTGAATTACTAACTGCAGAGGAAGTTACATGTTTCCTGAAGCCGGTCGACTAAACACAGTGAATTACTAACTGCAGAGGAAGTTACATGTTTCCTGAAGCCAGTCGACTGAACACAGTGAATTACTAACTGCAGATGACTGCAGTATCCCGTCATCTCATGTTTTTAATGAAGGTCATCATTTCTTCTTTGCGTTCATTAGCTGTAAACTCCAGCAGAAAGTCCTGGCTGTTTCTCCACTTCTGATTTGTAGTCTTGTTCCAGAACTTGAGTTTTGTGTGCACATCCGTTTTACAGATCTGGTTTACTTGTAGGCAGACTGCTGATTCCTCAGCTCAAGCAGATGCACCATCAACTTTGAAGGAACACACCCACAACTAGTCAACATTTAAAACATGCTTGTTGGGGAGAGGGGGTTGGGTGGGGGGTCATCAGTGGGTCTATTCTTTTCTGCCCCCACAATGGGGCTTGAGAACTCACACATGGAGGAAGGTCATCTGAAGAAAAGTAACAATTCTGTCTCACAAAGATGGTAGCACATGGATTTATGCCAGGGACTGACACAGTTTCAGTTAATACTGATGCTGGTATGGCCTGTTTGAGTCTGTAAAGTGACACTTCGCTTTCTTCTGCTACAACCTCATGAAAATGGATAATTTGGAGACTTCTGGAAATTGTTTGGGAAGGAAAGGTAGTGAGCAAAGAATTAACCTTTCCATCTCCATAAGAGACGGGATGGCCAGCAAGACGGGGGGAGAGGTTATCTCGTCTCAAAATACAGTAAAAGTAAAGGACCCTTGTCCACACCATTAGGCAAACTGGGCAAATTTTACAGACCAACCGGCACTTGGTGGGTGACGTGGTCAACATTGAGCTCACCGCTTTTACTTCCCATGATTTTACCTGGTACCCATTTAAGGCTTGGTTAACCTAAGAGCCACAGTCATTTCTGAAAACGTCAGGCTCCGTTCAGATTTGAATCCATGACAGTAGGATCCACAAGTGAACGTCCAACTGCTACACGATGGCCGCCCCCCAAGATTTAGAGACATACTCCCAAGTTCTCTCATACCCTTGTGACTGTATCATCACTCAGAATATCCTAAGACCCACCCCAAACAAGATCTAAGTGCATCTGTGTAAAATTAGTCTGGACAAGGATACTAATGAGTCCGTCACTGCTGGCGGTGTACAACCTGGAGCCATCCTCATTAACAGCCACGGCCATCACTGGTTTATTATGACCCTGGAATAGATAAGAACAACATCTGTCAGTCTATATTAATTCTGTATTCACATAACTGATTAGTTAGTTACATACTGCTTACATGATGGCAAAAACCAACTCCAGCATTTCTTGACTGTAGTTTTGATGGGCAGCTTTTATGTTTAGCAGTTCATTAATGCAAGTTCCAGTGGACCAAGAGGTGAAGAAAAGACGTGGGTATTCGAAAGGGCACATTCAGCATCTAATACCACATTAAAGGAGTTGGACAAAGTGCAAAATCAAGCACTTAGAGTCATCACACGAGGGATTAAATCAGCCCCCAAATTAGAAATGGAGACAACTGGGAAAACACAGGCACTGAGAGAACGCAGAGATACAAAGTTGCAAATACAAGCTGAAAAGTTCCTCAGTATGCCAGATCACCCCATAAAAAATAGATTTCAGAACCTAGCCTTGGGACGTTTGAAAAGAAGCAGCTTTATACATCAAGCAAAAAGAATATGTAGACTAACTGCTGACCTTCCAGAAATTGGTTGTCCACTTAACAGTATTCCAGAACAAACCCCATGGAGAGAGAAATGCAAACTAACATTACAAATCCAGACAAATGTGATAGGAATATTTGACAAGAAAGAACAAGATAGTGTACAACGCAGAATGGCCACCCTCAATTATATGGATAAAGAATACCCACAAGAACAATCGGTCAGAGTCTATACAGATGGGTCCGCAGAAAGTGCAGTTAGAAAAGGTGGTGCTGGAGTGTACACAGAATTCCCAGATGGTACTAGGGATAATTCCAGCGTACCAACTAGAAAGTACTGCCATAACTATGATGCAGAAACTCAGGCTATCAAGATAACAACAGAGAAACTGCTAAATACCAATCTTGGCTCACAGTATGTGGTAATGCTGACAGATGCAAAATCAGTACTTGAAGCACTCCAGTCTAGGAAACTACCAGAATTGCAAACACTGCTGACAAAACTTAGCCTTCGGCGAAGAGTTGTAAAGCAGTGGATACCTTCACATTGTGGAGTGCCTGGGAATGAGAAAGCTGATCAACTGGCAGGGGAAGGTGCGACAAAAGTGCAGTCAGATGTACCAGTCAGTCACATACCACCAAAAGAAAAGAATCATTAAATCAATGTGGCGCGGTGATTTATGTCACAGGCGTGAGGGGAAGTTAAGTCCAACTTGATGTGTATAAGGAGATACTCCGTACGTCACTCGGGCGCCAGTCCTTTACTATCCTGGTTGTACGGAACCTCACGCAAGACCCCTACAGCACGTCCTCGTCGTGCGCCACGGATAATGTCTCAAATGAGCATTAACAGAGCTGTCAGGGGATCTCGGAGTTCGGCGGCTCCCAGAGGTGATGTGTCCTTGTGGCTCTCATCAGCCCGCCCCCAAACGTTTGGGTGAAAAATGTTACCAAAACTCATTAGGAACATGAGTAGGTCTGCCAAACGTACAGCCAAAATTACAACCCTTGGTTAAAAGACTGCGGAGTAAAGAGAACATTGTTCACTGCACATCCTCTGTTAACCCTCAGTGTCGTCGTCACCGCGCTGAGGTACACCACAACAGCAACCATCCATAGGCTGGCCATCCTTGTACATCCCCGGTTAACCCTCAGTGTCGTCGTCACCGCGCTGAGGTACACCACAACAGCAACCATCCATAGGCTGACCATTCATGTACATCCTCGGTTACCCCTCAGTGTCGTCGTCACCGCGCTGAGGTACACCACAACAGCAACCAACCATCGGATGGCCAAGCCTAATTGTCCGACAAAACTAGATCATACGGATCAAAATCTGATCATCAAAATTTGTATTGAACTGAAAAAGACCGAATGTCCACACCCAAAGACCCCACTAGCCCGAGTGTTGGGACAAAACTGATAACGATATGCCTGATGCAGGACGTAAAATTCTGTCGGGCTAACGGCTCGTCAAAGAAATTTAACGTGCGAGAAAAAAGAATGTACCTATCTGCGAGGTCACAAAAGTCCAAAACCCACGGGCTGCTCCCCGCTGACTTCCAGAGGGCGCAGCCCCTGTCGAGCGGGAGGCCTGATACGGTTGTGAGGTTAAGCAGGCATGTGCAGGACGTGACGATTCCTTGGGTGAGCCCAGAACCAGAGCGCCATGTGCCGGCTCTGCATGCATGGAAGCCTCCTTGGATGGCGGGGAATGCCCATGATCTGCCCCTGCCTTCTCTTGAGGGCTAACTGTTCCACAGGGGGTACTCCGAGGGCAATACCTGCGGCAACGTCACGACCCACACAAAACTATGGCCACAGTCAACCTAGAAATAGGCCTGACGTCTTCCCTCGAAGTCGGAGTACAGCTGCCAATGAGGCAGGGAAATGAAAAACGGTTGTACACGCAAAAATCAGGTCCAGGTGAAAGCCAAAAGTCCAAGCGGACGATTAACCGGGACCTTCCACTGGAATTCACAGCCGGTGATCGATAATAAAATAAAAAAATTAAATCAATCAAGAAACCACCAGCTCCAACACAAGACGACTATTTTATTATGGGCAGATCAGAACAAGTCATTATCCTCCGCCTCAGAACAGGGCACAACCGATTACGTAACCACATGTACACAAAATTCAAGATAGGCGTATCAGCCATGTGCACCTGTGGAAAGGTGCCCCAGACAGCAGAGCATGTACTCCAGGACTGCACCAAATTTGACACATTAAGGCAAACCTTTTGGCCAGAAAGAACAACAGTGGAACGTAAACTCTATGGACCACTGAATGAATTAACAACAACAGTGAAATTTATACAAGAGACAAAATTGCTGATATAGACAACTTATTTCAGGCGAACGAAAGAAGAAGAGAAGAAGAAAGGGCACACGTTGAGAAAACCTGAGGTCAATATAACTAGAATGTCTTTCCAGTGGAACCAACAGGGGCATAAAAATAAAGGCAGACCAAAAAACACATGGAGACGTGAGTAAGTTCAAAATATGGGAAGGACATGGGGTGAGCTGCATGAAAAAGCGAAGCACAGAATGACTTGGCGTAAGTTGGTTGAGGACCTATGTGCCATTTGAGAACAGAAGGCAAAAGAAGTTTGTCATTGCTCACTGACAGACGATGCCCATACTGTTTTCAAAATCTTTACAAAGCAGTATGATGCCAAGTCATATGCAGCTTAAAATAACCTTATTTGTCAGAATTATAAAACAGCTTTCATAACTGATAAGCTACAGATGTAATTTTTTTTTTATCATACACAACAGAAATGTCAGGTTTTATATAAAACACAGGAAATGTAGAAGGTCAGCCAAACATTTCAAAATAATCTTCAATTGTATGTTGGCATAGCCATTAATGTTTTCGTCTTCTTCTAAGCATGTTTCTTCATGTTTCTGCACTGACGATTCCTGTTCTGCATTGGCTGATGTAGCAGCTGTGAACTATTGCATGGTTTTTACATCACACTGCTCCAATCGATTTATCCAGACTTTGCATGTCAGTCACAGAGAAATCGTTATAATCATGTCTGAGGTGGTCTTCAGCACTTGTTGTCTCTCATTTAACATTAATTATGTTCATTCTGTCTACTGAGACACTAACAAGTAATTAAAAATGAGAAATGTAAAATGTATGTATACTAAACTCTTCTACTGTATGTGTAGAAGCCTGAACAATGAACAAACAACCATCAGAATGTCAAGATGTGGGTATAAAGAACAATCGGCTGTTTTTCATTGAAACAGAAACAATCAAATGCACAAGTTCAGAAGAAGGCATGAGTGAATAGTTTTGCTTTCAAAGATGTTCTTCTATAACAACATACACTAATATGTTTAAACACAGCCTTTAATTACAATAAATATTTGTCAATGTACTGTATTTTTCCAAGTACAAGAGACACTAATTAAAAAAAAAAAAAGGTCTAATAAACAGTGTGTCTCTTATACACCAGTAGAGATTTTTACTAAATCATTTGTTAGCAAAGATTCCACACAGGACATTGCTTGGGAATTCCAGTTCAAGGGCAACATAAAATGGAGGAAAAAGAATTATTAAATTCTTTCCAGCTGTAATGGCTTCAGCCTTTCTCTTCTCTCTTTTTGTTTTATAGCCTGTTACATGTCATTCAAGAAGTGTGGCATTTCAGATGTCACAGATGGAATTGAGAATAAGGCAATATATGAAGACTGTGATTCGTCTTAAAAGCCTGTAACATGTCATTCAAGAAGTGTGGCATTTCAGATGTCATAGATGGAATTGAGGATAAAGCAATATATGAAGACAGTGATTCCTCATCAGACACAGACATGGACAAGCTAAAGAACTATCAGATGGATGAGAGTTTTGACATTGATGATGAGTTTTCTGGTTTATTTGATGAATAAAACTTAAGTTCAATAACTTGATGTAATCATATTTTTCTCTCTCTCTCAAAATTTCCGGCCCCAAAATCCAGGTGCACCTTGTATTTGAGAACTGCCTCATACTTGAGGACAAACAGTAAAAACAATAAATGCAATGTTAATCAGGCATTATTCTCACCTTGATGACTCTACTAGGATGACTTGGGCTGGAGGGGTCAAGGTAGTTGATGTAACCAGATAAAGAGACGGAGATAAGCGTGTTTCCTTGCCACAGGCATCCCACCTGCATGTCAGTCACATCTTTGCCTAATACGAATTCACTAAAAAGAAGACAGAACATACATAAAACTGAAGCAACATTCCCCTGTTGTAAATCTGAACAAAGACACAAACAAAGGTTGCAAAATGTATTGCTTATAAATAGAAAGACGTGATAGTGACCCTGCAACTACCCTGGCAAAAACAGGCAGTTGCTTTCAAGAGTGTCTAAATGTGTGCATCAGTTATGAATGATTCATTTATTTGCTATATTTTCTTTAACTGTTCTTGTAGTATGCACCTGAGGAGATACAGCAAATATGCCAGGGAATAAACTGCAATCTAATGTTTGTCTTAAACATTCTCAGTTGTTTGCTTGTTTTTGCCATACACCTGCCTACTCCGTTTATATCAGCCTTCATATCTGTTACAACATATGCATGAAACATCCTCTTGCAGTAGATCCCTTACAGAATGCGGCTCTCATCACAGTAGATTCGAAAGAAACCCGGTCCCTCACCAGCTCCCCTGCTTCACTTTCCTGTCCAAGGTAACTCTAATGTTCCTTGTCCATCTTCCTGCTGGTCAGCCCTTGGCCCTCTTACCTAGCACCATGTCCCTTGCTATTGTTCCTTCCAATCCACTGTGGCATTTGATATGGCCACAGTAGAGTTTTCAGGTTAGTAATGTGGCAGTTTCCCCTTGTTTTCTATATCTACATAGTTTTAGACTATGTTGCATGACACAGAAAGCTTAATTTATTATTATATATGTTACTGATTTTTAACTCATAACCTCATAAAGTTGTCAGATAATGCCACTATGTTTCAGCTATTACCACGTCAGTTTATTGACTAGATAATCTAAAGATATTTATTGACCAGATAATCAAAAGACAACAGTGAACGACATGATCCTAAAACAACTACATGAAGACATTTTCTTTGGCCTTAATATATTTTGAAAACTATTAATCCTAGAGAAATAAACAACACATTAAAAAATGAAAATTGTCAAAAACTATGTACATTCATTTGTGTAATTTAACTATCCTTAGACATGTTTTCAACCTTTTCATTAGCTTCTGTGTATATTTCCCCGAGATCTGATTTTAGTGGCTCTGGTTTTGCTATTATTTAAATTTGATTTGATTTAATTTTGTTGATTTTTTTTTTCTATTATTTTAGTCAATTCAGGTATTAACAATTTTACTTTTGCTCTCATTTTCCTAGGATATTTATATATGCCTTTAAAAAAATTATTCCAGATGACATCAACACAAGTAAATCAGAGCTGAAACTTACAGTGTCCCAGAACTGTTCAGAACCAACTGATTTTTAACTAGTTAACTTGTGGATTCCATTAAAAAAAAAAAAAAAAAGGACTCACTAGACTAAGAGGCTGAGATAATGCAGCCAAGCTGTAAACCACAACAGGACATGCCAACCATCTTTTTAAGGGTAAACTATAAGAAGACTATTAACTACTCAAAGCAGATCCGATAGTAACAAACCGAAATAGATCACCCAGAACTATTACATATACAGATAACAGAGTCATTTTCACACAGGAGTCACATCAAAAATACTTACGTTTCCACCGATTTACTATCAAGATTCCAGATTTTGGCAGTCTTGTCTCCTGACACTGATAAAAGCTTCTTGCTATCGGCACTGAAAGATATCTGAAGAAAACCAACAGTATAAATGTAAATGCACTCATCATTACTATGTGTAATTTCAACAAACAAAGGCGGTCATGGTTGCCCAGTTTATACAAAGCATCAGTCTCAGATCAGGTCTTTGTTCTCAACCTGAGTATGCCATGTGACCAAACCATTCATGTATTTTTCCTTGTCTTCATCTTTTAACTCATTCAGTCTCAAGAAACATGTATTCCAGTGGAGGATGCATAAATTGTTCTCTGACTTTCTACATTTGGTCACAAGAAACAGAGAAAATCCGGGACCTTAGTGGCTGTTTCAACATATATATATCTAATGATTTTTGTTCTAGTGGTTATTTTCCCATTTTGAGCAATATATATATATATATATATATATATATATATATATATATATATATATATATATATATATATATATATATATATATATATATATATATATATATATATATATATATATATATATATATATATATATATATATATATATATATATATATATATATATATATATATATATATATACTTGAAGACAAGGAAAGGGGACTTTTACTTGAAGATATGACTCATTTGTAAAAACTTATAAAACATATTGGGTTACTCATACCAAAAGTGACTGTGCTGCAGCCAGGTTCTCTACATGCAGTAAGTAGATTCTAGGGGGGGTCTGTTAGTTAGTTAGTTAGTCTTTCCTCTTGTGTCAAGTGCGGCACATAGGGCAGAGGTCATGACTCTCCATGCATGGCGGTTTGTTGCAATCTGTTGTAGGTCTTGGATGTTTGAGTGGCCCATGAGTGAGCCTTCCCTGATGATAGTTCTTCGTAGGGTTTCCCTTGGTCTTCCACGAGATCTTTTCCCCTGTGGTGTCCAAATGAGGGCTTGGTAAGGAAGTCTTGATTTATCCATTCTAAGGGCGTGGCTGACATAGTTCCAGCGGCGTTTTCGTATAAAATTAGACACATACTCTTGCCTGGATTCTTGCCTTATTTGTGTATTGGTTCGGAAATCTGACCATTTGAAATTTAGTATTCTTCTAAGGCATTTATTTTCAAAACTGTCTAATTTTGTGTCTAGAGTTTTCGTTGATTTCCAGCTCTCACATCCATAGGTTAGTACTGGAATCACACAAGAATTGAAGATCTTGAGTTTTGTGTGTTTGCTAAGTGTCTTTGATTTCCAGATGTTGGACAGTTTATTGAAGGCACTAGATGCCAGTGCTATTCTAAATGGTTTTTCTAAATGGTTAGTATTCCAGTGGAAATTGAGCTGTATAAATCAGTGGAGGACATGTGTCACACCACAGCCTTTACAAAGCCTGTGGCTTTTTCATCTAAAACTTCTGACAGTGAGAACAAAAAGAAAAAGAATAAAACAGGCCGTATTCCTCGGAAATGTCATGAAAAGGTAAAATGTTGTGACAACAACAAAGAAAGAGAGATGGGAAAAGCTAAAGAAACTTTTCCAGACAGCCTGATACCATGGCATGGAGGATACTTTACTGGAAACTGAAAATACTGAATCCTGTCACCCCAGAAATGGTGAGAACTAGACTTAAATGGTTTTTTGATGCATGACATCTTTGGCAGTGGTCACTTTGCCTGTACAACAGCTTTGGTGCTGGTTGCAACTGATTAGTATGTAGATATGGCAGTTATGATATTCAATATTTACTTCCCAATTTCTTGCTTTTAAAGATATTATATGTGGGTAAAAAACAGAATTTTTTAAAACTGTGGAATCACCTTGATATCTAATTTTATAATTACAACACAAGGCTCTTCATGGTAAAGTGACCAACACTAGGTATAGATGGTTAAAGGGAAAGAAATAGGTTAATTCTTTGCCCCATTTGTATTTAGTGTTTACTTCCCTTCACCTAAAAATGAACATGTTCCGACTCAAGACTAATTTTTGTGTGTGAAACATGACATCACCAAAGAAGGAGAGAACTTCATACCTGCCTGTCTGCTCGGTGGTCTAGAGAATCGACCCCTGAATATTTATAAAAACTGCACAAGAGTTCACATTTCTTCTTTTTTAAAATAATTTCTTACGGTGGAGTTTCAGAGAATTATAAAGATGTTTTTTTTTTAAATGCGAAGACAAAAATAGGTCATTTTTTTCAAGATTCCTAGGGGCTGAGGTGAATAGGTTAAACAGAACGTACTGGAAAAATATGATGGTCCATCCCATTTAGCATGGTCTATAAGAAATAAAATAAAAGCCACCCTGAGGGGAACAGTTCATGAAGGCACGGGTAAAAGTGGGTAGATAAAATTAACGGATGAACATGAGTCTCTTTTGAGTGCACCATCAGGGTCACAGACAGAAGTTGTGTTTGAAATGTGGTGCAGCTAATATTCATAGTGGAAATGGCATTAGAGAACATACAAAGTTTACTAGATCTATAAATATTCAGGAAATAATAATAAAACAAAATAACATCATACTTACAGAATAGATTCCCCCAGCATGAGCTTTTGGAGCTCCCAGTTCTCCAATGAGATCTGATGTATTGCCATCATACACAAACAACTTTCAGACAAAAAGGATGTGTATCAAATAAAATGTCACTTAAAAACACAATTTAGACACAACTAAACATTCATCTCTTCTGCAGCATGTATACATTGAGGAGCTGGTGGCTGAGGGTTTATGACGTAGGTATATCAAGTTAGGGGCAAAGGTTCTCCTCCTATATTACAGTTATTGATTTTTATAAATCAAAGATGTTCTTCCACTCTCCCCAGTTACTTCACTGAGGTGTTGGGGAGTGATGTAAGGATCTTGTGTGTGTGTGTGTGTGTGTGTGTGTACTTCTAATGTGCTGCATAAGTGGATCTTCCTTTCTTGATACTGTTGTTCTATCTCTTGCATGGTCTTCCCTTTGCTCTGTGTTCAGTGTATTTCTTTAGTTGTCTTTCTGTGGCAGGTGGTGTGAAAGTAATCATCTCAAAAAGTCAAAACAAATATCAAAGGTATATTTAAAAATCTTAACCCTGTGGCCCCAAAAGTACCGTCTGTTTCTCATCCTAGAGATGCTGCTAGAGTACTGTTGCATTGGCCAGTCCCTGACAAGCCTAGTTAACGACACTGGTTCTGTTTGCAACTGTGCACAGTTTTGGAAAATAGCATTTGGAGAGATTTTATTGTGGGGAAAACGAAACTTTAAAAAAGAAAAAAAAAATTCATAATAACATTACCTTGAAGTCAGAATTTATCTTTAGCCCTTAGTACCCGGCGTCACAGTATGATTTATTTATTTTTAGACCCAAGAGACTGGAGTCTTTTAATTCTCCACTCAGTTCATTTTTTATTGATTACTCCTTTTAATTTATTCACCCCCCCCCTCCCCCTCAAAAAAAAAAAGTTATGTAATTATAGGTTAAAAAATTCAGCAATCTTTAGGTGACAGGACTTGTTAAGGATTGGGGGGGGGGGGGGGGGGGGGGGGGGGGGGGGGGGTCTTTCAAAGAGTTACATAGACAAGAAGGGTAAGCATCAGCACTGCTTTGGGATTACTTAGGCAAAGGCAATTATTTGCTTAGTTTTAATTAAAGCCCTCCTGAGATAACTAGCATATATTTTAGTGCACACAACAATATGTGAAGATACCTGGGTTTTCTAACAATGACTGAAAATGTTCAAGCTTTCTAACAATGTAAAAAGGACTGAAGTAGGAATGTGACAACTTGATTCTTGCTGAAAAAAAACCACAACAAAAAGCAGGCAAGTGATGCTAAACTGACATATGTAAAGTTTAATTATCAATCAATGGATGCCCGGCTCTCTAGCGTAGTTGGCCAAACTGGATTGAGCGGAGACCAGGTAACGAACTCCTTGTGGTCTGGGTTCAATCCCGGAGGTAGGCAGGAAAGCCACATTTTCTCCCAGATTTACAGTATTTACAATGGAATCAAGGCCGAAAGGTTGCGATATCCATAATACCGAGCCTAAGGGTTAACAACTCATGGCTTCTGGATACTTCTTCTTCTCTTCCACCTTGTACCTCATCGAAGTGTTGGGGGGAGATGAAATGTTCATTGATGAACTCTGTCAAGAGCACTATTAAGAATGATGTTCATTTCTGTAAGGCTGTCCTTAATGCCATCACTCCATATTTTCTGAGGTCTTCCACTCGCTCTATACCCGTTGTCACATTTTAGTGTGGCTCGCTGTGGCGGATAGTACCAGGGCATTCTTGTTAGGTGTCCAAACCACTTCATTTGTTGTTCTTTGATGACCTGTAAGACTGGCTCTATTCCTAGCATTTGTCTGATTTCATGATTTCGTATTCTGTCTTTCCTTGAAACTCCTGCAGCTCTTCTAAGGCATTTCATCTCTGGTGTCACAATTTTACGTTCATTGGAGGATGATTAAAGTTTGTTTCGCTACATATGGTATCCATGTATGTTATAAAAAAAATATACTGGATACTAAAACAAACAAACATCAATCAATGGATCATGGTCACCATCCCACTGGCCACCTTCCGTACCCAGGACATTGGCTGGTAACCATTTTAAAATGATTCAATTTAAAAAAAAAAAACTCTGACAGTACAGGACTTATGACTTAGTTCTGTTCCTATTAAAGGGTTGTAACTTGAACTGGTCGTAAGTCAAATTTATATTATTCCATACTATTTCCATTCAAATATTTGATAAAAATTACAGACTAAATACACAAAACTGTGCATTCTGTGAAAAATACATAATATGTACTCTAGTGTATTAGTTCCAGGAACTTTCCGACCCACTCATTTAGCTATCATTTAATATTTACTATTTTTTACTTATATTTTGTGGCCGCAAGTGCAGATGGTTGTAAACTGAGGGGAAGGTGTATGGCATAGAATGGTGTCAACAGCACAAAACAAAGCTGCAGCTGAAACTGGGAAACAAATTATTCTAAAAACAATTAACATGTACAGATAAGGTACATGCTGTAGAAGTGACATCAAACTGCTAACAAGTGAATGTCAGAGAGACAGGAAACACTTACTTTGCCATCAGAACCTCCAGAAATAAATATCTCCCCATCTGGACTGTAGCGTACACAATTAACAAAGTTCTGATGATCCTGCAATTACCAAAAGTAGGTTAATAAGGTAAATGTGATGATAAATGAAAAAAACACAAATCAAAGAAAAATAGTATTACAAACTGTTAAATACCAAACAATGTTTGATAAGCATGTTAACAAAGTTACATTAACGAGGCAAATCTAATTCTTAAATTTGATCACTGAAAACTTTAAACAAACTGAAGAAATATTACATGCATGCAATTTTTAAATAGGAAACACAGAATCAAATTATAGATGCAATAAGCATTCTCTATTGCACATCTAAATGAGTGTACTATTGAGAGTTGTAAGACATGAAAACCATGCAGAAGCCACCCGACGTTACATCAACCAGAAAAGAATTGGAGTTGTTAGCCTAAAAACACTTATAGACATACTCAGGAGGAGATCGGACCACTTATGGTCACGTCCGATGTGCGATAAAGATAATCTCTAACATGAACTATGTGTTGAGCTAGGTTGTGATATCTGCATGTTTCAGCCCAACACATCTGATTGCACCAAACCCTAATCAGTTGCCTTTTACAAACATTTCTGTTAAGGAGAAGAGACCTTCAGCAGTCTTCAATACGACTGTGAATGTGTGACAGTAAATAATAAAACAGTGAATAAACTGGAAGCAATGATGTTTTTGTAATGAATGACATTATTAACACAGAAGAAAAAACAAACACTGCAAATCTGAGTGTTGTATGTATAGCTAGATCACTCATCAAAATTACAAGGAGAAGACATTCTTCTTCTGCATTAGCCTTTAAAAAGGCGGTGGCAAATTGTGGTTTACATCTTGGCTGTGATAATGCACCTTACAGCCTAATTCATCTAATTTCAAGAAAACCTTTGGTTATTCATCTTTTATGACACACTCGTTGACACAAAAAACCCCCCCCCCCCCCCCACAGTGTTGTTAGAATATAATGCAGAAACATTTAACTGAAATATCACGATAATGTATATATGTGCAGCAATTATGATCTTAACAATAATTAGTGAAAGCTCCATGATATAAACATCCGTGAATATTTGTGACAATCAATGAATGAACTGACTCACCAAGACAAAGGCCCATGGTTCAACCTTCTTCTTTGTTCACCCGCTGTAAGCTCTAGTGGAAAGTCCTGGTTGTTCGTCCATTTGGACCTTGGCTTTGTGCCAGGGCCTGAGTTTTGCGTGTACATCCATTTTACTGACTTATTTGTGTGCAGCTGGCTGTTCCTTGCCACTGAAGCAGATGAGTTTATTCTTGTTTGCTCTATTATAGGGCCCCAGGACCCACACAGGGAGTTCAACCTTCTGTAAGGCAGACCTTTTCTCCCTAAAAATCAACCATGGGATAGACCTCACCACATAAAATAAGTACCACACATCATTATGGGAAGGATAGGCAGTAAGGATCAGCTGATCAGCCCAACTCTTAATGCAATGGCTAAGTAGATAAAAGCCATAACATTACATACACAGCTATGGCAGCATTTATTATGAGATCACTTCCTTATATATCTGCAACTATGAATGCTTCTTTTTTCAGTTTTCTGAGCCCCAAATTTCATTGTTGCAGATATCACCCGCCTCCATTCATCGCTGTAAATGACCTTCTCTTTTGATATGGTGTCTTAGGTGTGCCTGATTATAATCTATCTAGTCTTCTATGGTTTGCCTGAATATGATTTCTCTACTGTCTTCTTTCGTTTGGCCTAATATGATCTCTCTACTGTCTTCATTGGTTTGCCTGAATATGATCTCTCTACTGTCTTCTTGGGTTTGCCTGGGGCCTACTTCTAGTCAGTACTTTTGTGTACAGTTTTATTGCACCTCTGTTATCTGGCCTTCTCTCTATATGCCCAAACCACTGCAGTTTATTAGCCCTCATGATGCCAGTAATTAGTGGTGATAAAATCAAATACAAACTTATAATTAATTAACTCACTGATTTGGTGCACTTGAACTTGAAGGGAGGACCCTCATAGAAAACTGTTGTGAAATCTTCACTTCCAGTAACAATCTTCATAGGGCGGCCCTGCCTGATAGCAACTGAGTTGATTGACTTGCTGTGGCCTACGATTTCACCAACCTTGTTACCAGAATCAAAGCTGAACACTCGACCAAAACTACAAGGATAAATAACAATACAATTTGCCTCAGTTTTTAAATTGAAACAATATTAAAGGGTAGAACAGCATAGGTTCCAAAACTCGTTGTTGCTCACTGCACTTAAAAAAAATAAAATAATAAAAACACAAAATTACTTAGTGTCCCAACTTTACACTACCGCCTGGTCAATCCCCCCCCCCCCCCCCAATTCCACCCAGGTAACTACTGCCGCCTTTGACTGTCCCCCTCCCTGGGACAGTAGTGCCTACTTTGTGAAACCATGTACCTAAGAACAGGGAAACATGCACAACAATGGACTGAATGAATATCAGAATAAATCATTTCAAGTCAGTCAATGTCTGGCTCATAAAGAACTCTACTAGAACATCATACATACACAGCAGTGGAAACAAATCATACAACTCAGAGATATCCTATATTACAAAAGACAAATATAATAATTAAAAAACAAAAAACAGTGTTGATAACAAAAAGATAACATAATTCATACACAGCAAGTTACTGGCTTTCATTCTATCAAGGAATTAAAAAAACTGACATAATTAAAAGCTGTAATATAAAAGATAACACATCTGCTTACAACTACCAACAGAAGAATCTTTTGTAACAGAAGCTTTATTAGCTCAAGTATTTTCACCCCTAGCCCAGGGATGTTAAATTGGCGGGCTGTGGGTCACATGCAGCCCTTTGCAAGCATACCTGCAGCCTGCAAAAAAAGGAAATATTCTACAATAATTTTGTATTAAAATGACTTCAATTAGTTGTCATGAGTGGTCCTTATGACGACACAAACATGATCCATATGACCCTCGGGGGATCCTCAGTTTGACAAGCCTACCCTAGCCCACATATTTTTGGCCTAGTTTAGATATGAAAAAGGAGTTTACACAAAAGCCAGAGAAATAGAAAACAAACAGAGCTGAGCCTTACAGACTCAGTTGTTATCCAGAAACCATAAGCTGTAAACCCTTAGGCTTGGTATTATAGATATTACAACCCTTCGTCCTTGATTCCATGATAGATACCGTAAATGTAGGAAATATGTCGCTTTTTTGCCTATCCTATTTTTTGCGTGAACTCAGACCTCAAGGCGTTTGTCTGCGCAGCTGGGTTAACCAACTTAGCTAGCGTGCAGGACTAGCTTTTTTCAGAGTTTTCAACTTCACAGCTAACGAGCCAGCCCGTTGTTGCTCAGTTGCCGTGCTAGTGAAAACTACATAGCCTATCCACCACTGTCTATTGTGAAAAACAAAAACTGACACAGACTACAGTCTCAGCAAAGCCAATAGCATAAACACACATTAAAGGTGGCCGTGTTAGCGCAGTCAATGGGGGACTTGCTTTCAAATCCAGCTGCAATTTGCTGCAGCCTACGGCTGGTGTTTGAAAACTGACGGTTCCCGGGGTTCACCCAGCCTCTAGGAAATGGGTACCAGAGTTTAACACTGGGGTAAATGAAGGAACATCGCTGTAGCTATGGAGTTTCGTGTGGACGGCGATACAGACAGACAATTTCTTATCAGCTGTCCGTACTGGTGGCAGAGCACTTATAGTTTATAACTGTGTACAATGACACTGGTTCACATCTCCTGACTTTATGTTTTGTTTTTTTACACACATTAAATGCAAAAGGCAGCCACTGAAGGTGCCAAACAAACATTCTGCACCTAGAACTGATTAACCGTTGATGGAAGCAGCAGTTACAACAAAACAGCAGCTGCACATGAAATATCACATAAGGCATCACCAGTTCTGAGGCAACAAGCTTTACCACTATTATTTTCTGAGATTAAAAAAGAAGCCATGATAGTGGTGATGATCCAAGTACTTACAACTCTCTGCCCTCACCAACAACACACAATTTCTGACTGTCCATAGTCCAGTCAAGGTCTTTGATAGGGCCCCCGAGTGCATTATGTTCAATCTTGAGGATGTGTTCTTTGTTAACAGTGTCCCAAACTCGCACTTTTCCTTCTTTGTCTGAAAGCAGGCAAGTTAAAAACTGTGCAGCTCTTCCTTTTATCATTACTTATTACACACAATTTAATCTCAACAATGCAAAGGCAGTTTATAAATAAAAAATATGACCCTCTGAACTAATTTTGAGGTATGCTGTAGACTGTCCCCCCCCCCCCCCCCCCCCCCCCCAACCGCAAAAATAAAATAAAATAGTATAGTCCTCTAATCTCACGCCATGGAATATCCTGGGAAAGAAGTAAACAAGAGAAGAAATATTTCCTGTTACAGATTCTAGATTCTGAAGAAAAAAAAAATTATATTTATAAAGGCATACATTTAGGAGTCGGCTCTGTGGCTAAGTCGATGCGAACCCTAATGCCGGGTTCGATCCCAGCTGCGGGCCATGCGCCTTGCATTGGTTTCGACAGTGGTATCAAGAAAGCCGACCGTCAAGAAAGCAATGGCAAACTACTGGACGTAAATTTGCCTAGAAAAACCATACAACAGCCAGGGGCTGTTGGGAATGGTTCTGCAACTTCCTGTAAAGGATTCACAACTAACCTATACATTTAAGAAATTGGTCAGAAGGTAGCAGATTGTTTCTGTGAACACTTTGGGGATATTCCTAATAAGGCTTTTAAACCTGTCTCTCCCATTTTGACAGTTCTGACCGCCAAGGCAAAAGCGATATCTCAGTTACTGCTATTAAATCTTGCTCTGGTGATTAAACCAGGCGCTACTCCTTAGACAGAATATTTTATTTAGTTTTAGCAATCTTGGTTTTGGAGAGATCAATATTCAACGCAGCTTTATTTATTTATTTAACTTGTTCATATGTCTTCTCTTTTTTTCATATGCCTTCTTCTTATTTCGTTTCATAATATACCACTTCATATCCACAACCCCCCCATCATGCTGGTTTCATGTTAGCCTTGGATTTTAGAAGCTCTGTTGTCTTGTCCATGTCCACTAAGTTTTAGAGTCACAGTTTGTGTTGCATATAGTTCTCTGTTGATAAAGACTTTGATCAAAATGTTTGGTTGTATTACTGTGCATCTTTTCCATTCCATCTGTCCAGCTTTCTAGTCGCATTTCATACTTGTTGTCATCAGCTCAACTGTAGTCACTCCTATTTACATCATCACTTCAGATACTAGTTACTTCGCTGAACAATTAAACCTCTCCTACGTATTATTTTTAGGGAGCCACGGAAACTTAGTGGTTAGATGCTTGCCTGCCAGACTGAAGGTCTTCTTTTTGAATCCACTTCGTGGAGGACTTTTATAAATGATTTATTACTGACTTGTTATTATAATGTATTCTGTCTTATCTTGATTGATAATTAGTCCCATTTTTTGAGCTGCTTGCTTTAACCCTACCAGACCGCTCTCCCGTTTTTCCAGGAATTTCATTACTGTTCTGTATACCGCTGGCCCTAAATTTAGGCTATTTGCATAGTGCGTGAAAAAAAGATGCGTCACTGACTAAAAATAACCAACCAATCGTCGTCAGTCCACTTTGTTAGAGATTGCAAATGGTTTCCCTGTGTGTGTGAATCAATTTTGTGTGTTTTAACGTGAAAACAATTAGGAAAATTCAGAATGAAGCGAGCGGCTGATGAACCAAGTTCTAGGCTTTTCACAGTCCAACAGGTGATCGATACTTTGGTTTATTCAGACTCTGTGATATATATATATATATATATATGTGTGTACATATATATATATTCATTATCTGTGATAATTTCATAAAGAATACGTTCTTGAAATGACACTGTCAGTGAGAGCGCAAATGAGGAAAATCTTGGAAATTATCAATCTTGAAATAGATCGATAGTAGGACGAGGGGGTGTGTCCATCAAACGGCAGCATCTGGTGTTCACTTTGTGAAACAAAGTTGATCCTGATGAGTGAATTCGCAAACAAAGGTGAAATATTGGCGCTAGATAAAAGGTAAGCCTATTTTCTACAATGTCTCCAAGTTTCATCATATTCTAGCCACTCGTTTAATAACTAATATTTTTGTAAATCAAGTTGGTTTTTTCGCGGTAATGCCCAGGAGCTCAGGTTATAGGGACAGTTACGTTCAGGGCCTTAGGTCTGGTAGGGTTAAGAAAGTCAGTGTGTCTACAGTCTCTAGTTCTGGTAGTTTCTCCTATAGTACATACTTCTTTTAATTTCCATATAATTTTCTCCAAGGTCAAGTTGAAAAGAAGAGAGGACAGAGCATCACCTTGCTTTAAACTAGATGTTATTTAAAAAGGGTGACAAATCATCATCATCATCCCATAACACTACGTGTCATTGGGTCACCAGTTTCTGTTGACTGTCTGATCAGCTCTCTCCACCTTTAGCGTCATTTATGATGGACTTCATGGCTGAATGCTTGAGGCCTGTCCAGTCAGTCAGGTTCTGTATCCAGATATTTCTTGGTCTGCCTCTTCTCCTCTTTCCCTGCAGTATTGTTTTTGAGAGGCCGTTAGATCTTATTACATGTCCATACAATTACATTTTTTGCCTTCTCACTGTAGTTAAAAGAGGTTCATAGTTGCCAATGTGCTGAATAATTATATGGTGAACCTCTTTGTTTGTAATGTGATCTCTGTATGATATGCCAAGAGTTTTTCTGAAACATCGCATTTCCAATACTTGTATCTTCCTTTCGAGTTCAGCTGTTTAGGTTCACGTTTCACAGCCATATGTAAATGTACTAATAGCTAGTGCTCTGAGCAATCAAATGTTAGTTTTGTATGAAATGTATTTGGATCTCCATTTTATTTCCATGTCATACTTGGTTGATGTTTCATCGAGCAGATTTACAAGCTCGACTAGCTTTTGTTCTTCCCCTGCCAACCCACTGATGTCACATGCATACCTTAGGTTTGTTATAGTTCGACCTCCAAACTAACTGTTCCATGATGTTGTTCGAGGGCATCAGTCATAATTCTTTCTAAGAAGATGTTAAACGGTGTTGAAGAGAGGAGTCAGCCCTGCCGAACTCCTACTGTTATTCAGAACCAGCTTCCTATTTGTCCGTTTAGTGACAGCATTGCTGGGCTTGGCATAAAGCTGTTCTATACTACATATGAGGGTTTTACCTATGTTGTACTTTTTCATAGTTTCCCAGAGCGCTGCATGCCATACTCTATAAAAGGCCTGTTTGAAATCATTTAACACACTGTAGAGATGTTTTTGATGTTGGTGGTTTTGCTCAGGTCACAAACGCAAAAATTACCTGCAGAAGCTATGTAGAACCTAGAAGGCGAGTACTTAGCAACTGTTGTCTCCTTGGAGTGCTCTGAATAAACATCACATATGGAAGGATCCTAAAATAGGAAATCAGAATAAAAAATAGCTCTATAAATAACAATATACAGTGGACCCTCAGTACACATGCTAAATCCATTCTTTATTGTTGGATGAATACCAAACATTTTCCTATAAGAAATAAAGGAGAATAATTAATCCTTTACCATGAAAACTTCCTTTTTTTCCTTTTTTTTTAACTGACATATTATACACATAAATTATATACTGCTTAAAACCAAAAATAGATAAATACAAAAGCAACTAGATGAAATAAATGAAAATTTTATATAAATTTACCTTCTCAAGAAGAGCTAAGTGCCTAGTACTGAAAAGAGGGAGAGGAGGAGATATTTTTGTTTGAAAAGACTGCCACGTTCTAATAAAACAACAGGAATCAGACATTATGTGTGTATGTTTTTCTCTTCGTTTTTTTTCTGTCTCTTGGCACTACTTGGACCTGGTTGAGGCTCTTCGGTTTGACTTTTACTAAAAATATGCCTAAAGATTTTTGCTTCTGCCTTTAGCTAAGGATGTTTTGAAAATGTGACACTGTCTTATCATTTCAGACAATACTATATTAGCTTGTTTGGGTCTTGCTGGGGTGACACTTGTCAAGCAAAGTTTTTGCATCAAAACAGGATGTATACCAAATACACACCCCCCCCCCCCCCTCCCCAAAAAAAAATTACAAACAGCAGAAGGAGCAGTCAAAATTGTGTTGGCCATGTTATGAGAAGAGGCAAAATGGGATATGTTATCACTACGGGAAAGATATGTGGAAAGAGAGACAGAGGAAGACAGCGTGAGAAGATTCTTGACAGTCTTTTTGTCACGGCACGGAGCAGTGTCAACACACGAACTGATACAGGCAGCTGCAGATCGCAGATTGTGGAGAATCATGATCGCCCACATCAGTCGGCAAAGGACTTGATAATGATGATACCAAATTGAACATACACCAAAGCAAATGTATACTAAGGTACCACTGTAACACCAATGTCTATTGCACTTAACCTAACTCTAAACCTGACAATCTAGCTAGAATAAAGGCCTTAATTGGTAACATATACAAACATGTTTGTTTTCTTTTTTTTCTAGTCTATTGTAAAACTGTAAATAACATAGTGGTCTCTCTTTCTTCCTCACATACACGAGTAAACGCATGTACGCGGCCACAAACCCATTAAAAAAAAAAATAATGGCTCTCATCTTATCTTTTTTGGGTAGATTTGCAGTCACAGCTTGGATGGGGTTTGTAAAGGTATCTAAGACAATTTTCAACAGAAAGGACACTGTAGACTACAGGTTGCCCAACCCTGCAAACTGAAAACTGTCCAAACTGAAAAGTGCATTGTTAAAAAATGGTCCCTAGACTGGAAAGTACCTACAACAATACAAAACAACAAAGCCTTGGGTGGCGTGAGAGTTTAAACCTGGGCCCAGATCAAACGTGAAAGAGGGAAACTCTAGAGCATTCACATCAATCTCCCGTTGAAGACTGGATTCACAGAGACAACACACCTTTTAGTTTTGACTGATGGGCATAGGAGAATGCAGACGCATAAAATTATGGTATGGTGGTTAATGCTTATATTTAATAAGACAGTCAGTGGTCTGGGGATATTTGTAGTAGGATTTTTTTTCACAGAAAACGTGGCTCTAGGACTGATAAAGGATAATAACATTGATACTTGTAATTCTTTTGCCATATAAGGATGTCAGTACAATACAGTACTTAATATCTAAATATATACCAAAGTTCACCTGGTCATGGAAAATAACTAGTTGTCACACTGTACACTCTGAATAGATTAGTTCCAATAAAACCTCCTATATTTAGCGTGCAGAAACAGACTTGAATATCAACAATGAGAAACCATGTAGAGAAGAAACAGCAATTCAACTGAAGGAAAGGGAAACTGCTGGTCCATAAGGTATCCCAGCAGAAGGTACTAAAGCTAACATAAACAGCTCAACTGATTTACAGCACACATTATTTAGCAGTCTGGGAGACTGAAGAAATACCAGCAGATTGGAGAGAAGGATGTCTGGTGAAGCTGCTAAAGAAAGGAATCAAGAAGAGTGAACAATATTAGAGAAGCAATAAGTCCCTTTCCTACATCTCGCTACAAACTGGTTCTGTTGGCAGTAAATAGTTTCATGTAACTGTCCGTTGAGGAAATACTGACTTGGATCAGTCTATACAGATTACACGATGCCACTGATAAACAACTTATAGACAGCAGGCAGACTATAAGTTGAAAAAAAAAAGTATTCAAGTGTATCACCAATTAGCATTTAGTGGGCGATGAGGTCAGCATCGTGCCCGCCATCTTTACTCCCAAGACTTTACCTGGTACCCATCTGAGGCTGGGTCAACCTGGGAGTCAAAATCACTTAATTAAAAAACAAAAACAAAAAAGAAAAAAAAAGTCGCAGACTCTCTCAGGACCTGAACATATATATGACCATCTGATCTGCAGATGAGTGAGGCAGACAGATGTCAATGTGTATGCCGTCTAGCGTGACCTAAAATCTCTAATCGTAATTATAATCACAGAAAACAAAACAATATTTCCAAGCTTAGTCCTCTTTTAGTCGCCCAAAGGCCTGCTTTATCAAGGACGGTTTCTTTGCTATCTGAGCTTGATTTTTTGGATTTGTATGGCGATCAATTTCGCTTAAGTTACGTTTCTCTGCTTTGACTTGTCAGCGTGGTCATGCTGGGCGCATATCGGCAGCTTTTTGTTTGGCTGTCTTTTGCAATGTGGGAATGGATTATACAGTCCTGAAAAGGACTGTCAATTATGCCTGGGTTGGCCTGGAGCGGGTGGGAGGGACTTCTGTGGGTCTGGTGCTGGCATTTTCTGTGGGCGGCGTCTCAACTGTTTCCTCTGATGGCTTGCTGGGTCCTTTGTTGTCTGACATGCCAGGTTTGACGGTTTTTGATTGGCTGCATTTGGGGAGTGGATAGACCACCCTAAATAGGATGGTCAGTTGCACCTGGGGCGGTCTGGAACGGGTGGGGTTGGGTCTCCTGTGGGTCTGGTGCTGTTTTTCAGAACTGGCAATTATCATGTCCATTTGGGTTGTCTTGTACATTTCTGTGTGGAGTGGTGTTGTAGCCCTGGCTCCTTCTGTTCCTTCGTGTCCTTTTTAAGGATTCCTCCAGTTTACCTTAAAGTTGCATCCAATAGTGGCGTTTGGCGAGGCACTCTTCTGCTGGTAACAAGTCTTCTCTTGCAAATTTTGCCTTGTCGTAAATTATCACCAGGTGGCCCTTCTCAAAATCAAGCTTGTGCGGGTTATAATCTCTACTTTTTTCCTTTACTTATATTAGTAATGACCACCACCTGATAATTCATTCATAAATTATAGACAAATGCATTAACCTGGGACAGGTAAGGTCATAACAGACATTATCAGGGCATGTTAGGCTGTCCTCCCCCCCCCCCTCCCAACTTTTACCTGCAGGTTCAACACCTTAAGATTAAAATATGCAAATTCAGCTGGCAGTCCAACAGGAATATTTACAGATAGCCTGTTCAATCTCATAAGAAGTTATCATTAGGGCACCTGTAATAGGTACACCAGCATAATGTAGCCCGCAGTACTGTGCAGGCAGAGAATGATTTATTTAGGACAAACAACAGGCACTGCAAAACAGTGGCAGAAGATTGATTAGTTAAACTCCTACCTTCACTAAATCGCACACATCAACCAAATGTCATTGACATAACTAGAGGTTAACAGGTGTAAAGATATGATACCTTAGAAATGCATAAAAATGAAACATGATTTGTAAAGTACCTGGATATTGCGAATATAGACACTACTCCCATTGCAATACAACAAGTTTTCTCCCTTTGGATCTCCATTAATGATAATAGGTTGACCTCGCGTAGTCCTTGGTAAGGAAGCATATATTTTTCCTGAAAAGACAAATATTAAAGTTGTTTATTCTGTCCTGGCCCAATATACATGCAGTATCACAGTGACGAGAAGTGCCTGACCAAGTGGTTATTATAGCGATGGGCTCTCATACATAGACTCAGGTGCGATCTTTTTTGAAGAACAGAGATTTTTTTTCTGTAAGTGGCAAAAATAAACATCTAACATTTCATCCTAACATCCTCAGGCTCATGAAAACGCGCCCCCCCCCCCCCCCCTCACAAAAAATTATGTGCATTATATATGCTAACTATTATAGGCATACATTAAAAAAAAATTTTTTTTTCAATCAATGCAACACATCCAAATTATCAGTCAATATTTTTTCTTTACATTGTTTGTCTACGTTAATGTGTGTGTGTGCAGGCATGCAAAAACTGTTTCCCAGTGCCCCTTTACTGCAGGTATTCTCGCTATGACAATACTCGTAGGGGATTCTTATCTAAACTTTTCTTTTGTTGTTGCTATAGTGGAGCTTAGATTTAAATTAAATTACAACTGAAAATTTTTACTTGAGAGATGTTTAATTTCTTTAAAAAAGGCAAAGATAAGAATTAAGAGATGAACTTTTGGGCATTTTTAAATCTAAAAGAGGTAAATGAAATGTTACTTTGGTAAAATATATGCATGTGTGTTTCAATTTTTTTTAAAAACCTTTCCTCTCTAGAATTGCAGCCTGAAAGACTGACACCCAGTGACTCTCCTTCTTCTTCTGTGTTCCTCCAAAGATATAACTGCCTTCAGTCCATTTATAATATGGTTGTGATATCTGTGCCTTTCGGGTTGTCTTGTACATTTCTGTGTGGAGTGGTGTTGTAGCCCTGGCTCCTTCTGTTCCTTCATGTCCTTTTTAAGGATTCCTCCAGTTTACATTAAAGTTGCATCCAATAGTGGCGTTTGGCGAGGCACTCATCTGCTGGTAACAAGTCTTCTCTTGCAAATTGTGCCTTTCAACAGATGGATCTAATTTCTGCAGCAATTTGTTAACTGGGTTAGACGATCCAGTTAAAGATTGATGTCCAGTGATTCAAGAAAGTTCATAAAATATTTTTTGTTGTTTAGTGTTCTCTGGCTATAAACTCCAGCAGAAAGTTCTGGTTGTTTATTCACTTGAGGGCTATCCTCCGAATAACGGGCACAAAAGATGGCGGCCGCAAAAACACCCTAACAGAGCCTCAGCCATGTGTCAATTGCGCACTTCCGGCGACTTCATTTGCGGTTTTCCAGCGACTACAGCCACCGCCGAGAGTATCACCCACGCCACTTGCGCGGCGTGGATTGAGGCTAAACCAGATGGTGGGGACTCAGGGGGCAGCAGCTTCCGTATCTCCTCCAGCTTTGCTCGTGAGTCCCAGCCATCTAGTTTAGCCCCAAGCCACGCCGCGCGAGTGGCGTGGGTGATACTCTCGGCGGTGGCGAGATCTGGTTACAGATTTGGCTTAACCCAGACAGATGTACTTCGACTTTGAAATAAACTCCCCTAATTAGTTGCCTTTTATGGCATAGTAATGGCAGTGGGCATATTCTCCTCCCCCCCCCCCCCCCCTAGAGAATCCACAAGGGGAAAAAAGGGATGGGGGGGGGGGGAGGGCCACATATATTATTATTCCTATTTGGAAGCAAATCCAACAAGAGAAGTAGATCCCAGGAAACCCCAGTTCAGCTGTTACATTATCTTTCAGGCACCCTGTGATTAGTAAGTAACATGCAGCCCACTGTGTATGAGTGTTGCTGAGTAATTAAACAGTGTTAGTGTTCCTAATGGTACATTAAAGACCAAAAACAAAATGTTGTTTTCACAGACAGTAGCTAGTTGTTCACGAGTTCAAGTTGTGAGATAAGACAAAGAGTAGTCTGCTGATAAGTAATCAACCTTTATCCTTTCAAATACAATGAAACTGTTTTCCATTTTTCAAGCAAATAATACCTATTATTTATAACGTTTAGCAAATGTACTTTACAAGCAAATAGCAAGATTACAATACACCACATACTTTTATGTTTTCTTCTTTATTCAATTCACTTTTTGCACAAAAACTTTCAGAACTCGGCTTAGAATTGACATACAGACATGAATGGGGTACCGCTGAAAAGAGCTTTTCGATATGTATTCAGCAGAACTGGTTTATATGTAAAAAATGATTTTAAAAATTTGACTATTTAGTGCTTGAATTACTGCCAATAATCTGTCCTAATTCTCAGAATTCTGCTGACTTAAGTTTTAGTATGCCTCAGATTACAGTAATTACTTTTGCGGAGACTGTTTCTGATATCACACCGAACGGTTAAAATGAAAGAAGAAAAAACCTTACTGAGAGTAAACGCTGGCATTTTGTGACTGCTGTGGCGTTGCGACTGTGAGCTATGTTTGATGAATAAAACGCCCTAAAATTTCTTCAACCAAGTTTACTTCCGCACTCAAGCCGGAACGGAAGTGAAGAAGAGGTGTATCACGCATGCGCATTACACGATGCAGTTCCTTATATGGCAATTGTGTTCAGTTGTTTGTCAAAGTCGATAATACTTCAGACCATACATTTGTCACATATATCCTAGTATGGGTCGTGGTAATGGCTACATTTGTATTAAACAACACTTAAGGGAATGTAGATCATTGAGGGGCCCATGACGTAATCACAGGGGCATCATGAATGCAAGTATATATTTATAGTATCTGGGCTTTTCCCTCTAAAAATAAGATTTCAAAAGATGTGGGTACTCACCATGAATTGATTTTAAAAGTCGCCGGTACTCAAAGTATTGCTGACAGAAATTATGAAAAAAAGGCGCTAGAACTACGTACCATTGCGGACTGCCAGAAAAAAATGTAAGCTCTGGATAGAGAAGGGAGCTACAGTGTAAAGTTAAAAAGATAAAGAGGACATGGAGAGAGCTGTATAGGATAGCGAAGGATGGAAGGATTTGACTGGGGGCTTATGATCTATGACTGGGGCACAAGAAGAAAAAGATGTTGCGTCACCAAAAGCCTTGCACAGTGGGTTGTTGATGTCTCCTGATACTTTTATGTGTGGTTTCAGCGGTGCTACTTTGTGTCTGGTGACCATCTTCGTTAACCTCATGGCGTGACTTGAGATGTCTTTTGTGCAACCGAATATGAGTCTTATAGTCTCCTTGTAGTATTTCCAATCTTCCTAGTTGAGTTCTGCTGATTATGAGGTGACTCAGAACGGTATCGACAGCTGACACAATGTCCTGATTAGTAATGAAACGTGTGTGCTGTTCTATGTTGGCTGCCGCCGTCACCTAAAGAGATAGACCTTGCCTGGTACTAAATATGATGACATTTTCTACGTGATAGTTGACTCTGTGGCTAAGTCGATGAGAACGCTTCGTAATGCCGGGATGCCGGGTTCGATCCCAGCTGCGGGCCATGAGCCTTGCGTTGGTTTCGACAGAGGTATCAAGAAAGCCGACCGTCCAGCATCAATGGCAAACAAGAAGAAGCAGTGACAAACTACTGGACGTAAATTTGCCTAGAAAAACCACACAAAAGTCAGGGGCTGTTGGGATTGGTTCTGCAACGTCCTGTAAAGGTTACGCAACTAACCTCTCTACGTGATAGGCTATCTGACCGACAAGTGTCTGTCGAAGGTCATGCCAAGATATTTCATGCTTAGACCTGACGTAGCCGTATTAACAATATGAATGTTCAATGACAACCAAGTTAAGAAGACCTTGGTCGGGTTTACCCGTGCTCCTTATTCCCAGATTTCATTCCCCGGGTCTCTTTAGTTCATGCTGTAGCGTTGTTGTAACGTCATGCCTGGTTTTCCTATTGTGTTTCCAAGCACGTTGTATGGGACGCTGTTGTACGCATCTTCAAAGCCAGTGGTGACCACGGCTGCTTCCATTCCTGCCTGGAAACCCTCAGTAGTGTCATATGCAAACAATGCAGCATTGCATCACGTATCCCTCCCCAGGCGGTAGCCGCCTAGTCATAATCACAGTCATCCCCATGCGGGGTGCAATTTTTCGACTTCTTGAAGCTCTACCCTGGCTCTTGCCAGGGGCCGCAATATAGCCCGGCCATAAATATCGTCTAATGGCTGATTGTGGTTTCCGGGACCTCTCCACGGGTGATCCTCATCCAGATGATTATGGCACTTTGTGTCATCGGGTGTTTATCGCTTGTGTGATGTCCTAGTGGGGTAGAATCTACTACTACTACTAAGCCACCTAGTGTGATCGCTAACAAGACCACTTGACTCCAGACGTTTAGAACTATTCTAGCCACTATTTATTCAATGCGTTTCCTTATTGTATTCTGCGGGGACATAATTTTGTTACCATTCTTTTCTTGTGTGATCTTTCCCTGGCCTAGGGAGAGGTCTGAGGTAGCTGTGGAACTAGTCATCATTGACAATGTCTGTTTTGATAGTTATTAAATACCCTAATTAGTAACAAAGGGGAGGAATATAATATGGGAATAAACACTACTAAGACAGAGACAATGATGACAGGAAGACATAAGGACAATTTAGAAATAATATTAAAAAACAACACCCTGAAACAAACAGAGGAATTTAAGTATGTGGGAGCAATTTTCACATCCGACGGAAAACTGGACAGAGAAATTAGCTCGAGATGTGCCAAAGCTAATCAAATAATGGGGCAACTATCTCCCCTGTTGACACACAAGCAGATACCTCGGAGTACTAAAGTGAATCTTATCAGAACTATTTTTTTGGCCAACACTATGCTATCAATGCCAAACGTGGACACTTACATCCTCCAATGAACGTAAAATTATTACAACAGAGATGAAATGCCTTATAAGAGCTGCAGGAGTTTCAAGGAAAGACAGAATACGAAATCACGAAATTAGACGAATGCTAGGAATAAAGCCAGTCTTACAGGTCATCAAAGAACAACAAATGAAGTGGTTTGGACACCTAACAAGAATGCCCTGGTACTATCCGCCACAGCGAGCCACACTAAAACGTTACAACGCGTATAGAGCGAGTGGAAGACCTCGGAAAATATGGAGTGATGGCCTTAAGAACAGCCTTACAGAAATGAACATCAGTCTTAATAGTGCTCTTGACAGAACTCATCAACGAATGTGACATCTCCCCCCGACACTTCGATGAGGTAGAAGGTGGAAGAGAAGAAGAAGAAGATTAAATACCCTGGATGTGCTCGCACCGGCAGGTCTATTGTGTCGTTTTCTACCATACTGTCATCTCTTCTGGTTTTGGTGCACCATTTAAGATGCATTACTATATAACTGACATCAAAAGAAACAAGTTCAAAATTCGTCTTTTAAATTGAAGTGCACATATCACATTGTCTCTTGTTACAATGCATATTTCTCCCACGGAAGTTTAGATTTACCAAGTGATCCGCTTGTTTACATAAAACAGGATTGCTCATCCCAATTCAGACTGCTTCTGCAAATTTCAATCAGGCGTTTGTTGAGTGAGTGATACAAAACACAGAAGGCGCGATCTCATGCCTGGCGTCCAGTTGACTTTTCTCTGTCAACAGGATTTCTAGCCCAGTTTTTATTGATTCTCTCTCTCTCTCTCTCTCTCTCTCTCTCTCTCTATATATATATATATATATATATATATATATATATATATATATATATATATTTATATATATATAACTTATATAACTATATACATACACATATACATACATACACATTCTCTTTCTCTGCTCCATCTCTCTGCTCTCTTTAATAAACTCTCTCTACCTACTCTCTCCCTCTCTATCTCTTCCTACTCTCTTCCTACTCTCTCTTAACTCCCTCTCTACTCTCGTTACTATCTCTCTACTCTTTCTCTACTCTCTTTCTTTTCTCTTTCTCTCTCTCTCTGCTCTTCTCTGATCCGGTTAACTGATATTTTCACATTAATAATTACAAAAGACAGTGAAGTTCGCATTAGAGACATCAGATATAAATAGTCTATTTCAAGCGAAAGAAAGAAGAAGAAAAAGAACATTAAATATTAAATTCGCTTCTTTGCTCCAGTTTCAAGATTCAGAGGAATGCTTAATTGCCAACTGATGCTGACCTTTTTAGGAATTCATGAATATATGCATAGGTTCTAATACTACTTGGGAAGTGTTCTTCTAACTAGTTATAGCTCTTATTTATATTTCGACTACATTATGTGTGTCTATCTCATGCTGGTGTCGTTGTACATTAGCAGGACATTCGCGTGTATTGTTGATGAATGACATTACATACAGGCATTTTGCCATCTTTCCAATTATACTCAAGATAAGTTAACACTTTGAGGGTATGCATCTTAGACCTACAATTGTGAGTCGTGGGCTATATTGTATATACCTGGGGTAGGAGCCAGTCCTACTACTTAGGCGCGTCCACCAGGTGGCGGATGGTGGAAAGGCCTCTAGATATAGAGGTTAGCCACGAATGTATTGAATAAGTCCCCGTGGACCAAAACAGGTGATGGTCATTGAGAGGATGCGTTAGTTGGTGGGACAGCTAACTCTATAAAATACCTCAATACTCTACGACATGGCGATCGGCGGGTAAGAGGCGCCATAACCTCTCCCCCCTGCTGCCTTGCAGGGTAAGTCTCTTTAGACAAAGGCTATTGGAGTCAAACCATATACAAACCGATGGAAGGCAAGGGGAAACCACCGCTGTAATATCCGTAGTAAATCATGCCTCAAAATATTACCAATTCAGATAACGATGTGAATGGGGATTCCGGTGGAATCACCTCGTCCGGTAGGGAGCATCATGTTCTCCGGTGATACTCGACCGTCATCCAGCTTCTGTAGAAAAAGTAAATGATAGAAACATCATGAACATTGGTCCATGGAATGTCAGATTAGTGAAATGCGATAGCCAGGAGCAGGGAAAAAGTATTCAGATCAGCACATAACTATTTACTCGGGTGGGAAGAAATATAGTGAGTTGGTACTATTTTGGATCCCAAGAACTCAAAAACTGAAAGGATTTTGGACAAAATCAGATAGAGTACTATTAGTAAAACTTCGCGGCAGACCGTTTGACATCAACTTAGTACAGATTTATGCCCCAACAGCAGATAGTTCAGAGGAAGATATTGACGCATTTTATGACGAGTCAAACATGGCTGTTTATCAATGCAACAATTTTAAAGTAACAATGGTACTTGGAGATTTCAACGCGAAAATAGGAAGTGAAAAAGTGTACGGAATAACGGGTGGCTATGGCCTAGGAGAAAAAAAATTGAGAGGTGACAGATTAATAGCATGGGCTGAGTCGCGCAGCATGATAATAGGTAACACCTGGTTTAAACACCATCCTCGATGATTGTGGACTCGAAAAAGTCCTGGCGATAATG